CCCCCCCGCTCCTTTGCTTTCTTAAATCAGCTCTTCAAAGGGCTCCTTGCTGCCCATAGGACTGTGGGGGGGGGGGGGGGGGCGGAAACCATCACTGTGTGTTTATGTATTGGACAGTTGTATAAAATCCAGTCCAACAGTCCCCCTTTTCCACTAATTATTTAATAGCAATATAAAATCCCCTCAGATCTTGGTGTTTTTCTCTCATGTTATCAAATGGAGTTTGTGACATGTATTCTCTGCAAATCTCAAAGATTGGTATAAAATACGCTAAACATTTGCCCCACTTCTCTCTAGTTGTCTATTTCTAATTGAATAATATGCCCTGAGATTTCCCCCTGTCTCTCTAATTGTAAAATACTAAGAAAATCTCAGATTTACACGTTTTCTCAGATTCTTGAATATGGATATGAAGGGAGGGGAATCTCCCCTAAGCCTTACTGGTGGGTGCCCCCTTCATATCTCACAGCAGCTGCTGGTTAGTCGGATCAGGTGAGTGCAAATGTTTGCAAAATTGAGCCAAAATCTCTCAGATTTCCACCATTTCTCTTTTATTTCTGAACATTGATCTCAAAGCTCAAGTTTTGCCTCTTTCTATGTCACTATCAAATGTCAATTAAAAATCCTCTCGGGTTTGGGGCTGTTCCCCATGTTTCTGAATCCCAGCAACTTCTCCTTTCTTGCCTGTTGCCCTGAATCATTCTCCATCCTGGATGTTGTAGGGGGTTAAATTGCCTAGAGATCATCTTTCCCGTCTCCTTTGAGAATCATTTGTTCCTTCCTATATCTCTGTTAAAATGTTTGCTGATGAAAGAGACCAGCCACATATTTAATACACATCAAAGCCAGAGGCCTCCCCCTGTTTGGGGGGATCAGTGGTTCCCAGCTGATAACAGGAGAGTTGGCTGGACCCTTTTCTTTTCTCCATCTGGCATGGGATAAGGAGTTCACTCTGAGTGCAGCGTGGGTCCAGAAGTATCCCAAACCCCATGACAAATGGTCTCTGGGCTGCTTCCTGCAGTGCTAAGATATAGCCACCTCTGGGGTGGCCATTATTTGCTAGTGACAGGGCATGGAAATTTCTTAACTATTTTGGCCCACCATGCCTTCCATTCTCCTGTTAAAGAAGCATCCCCCAGGACTCCCTCTGCCTGTGTGACTGGTCAGCAGGGGGTGGTGATAACTTTCTATTCACTTACCAGACAGTGTGAGGTAACACTGTTGCTGGGGTCGGGGGGGGGGGCACATCTGTGTGGGGAGATTACAGCTGGAGCTGAAGGGGCATTGTGGTAGGGGGAGGTCTCTGGGTGGCTGGGCAGGGGGTACCCTAGTCAGGTTGCTGGGTTCTGGAGGTTTGGAATTTTGGGGGGTGGTTCTGAGGTGCCCAGTGTCATGGAGTGTGGGGGGACACAAGACCCTGCACCCCCAGCTTCCTGCGATTCACCATGACTCTCAGCCAGCCAGTAAAGCAGAAGGTTTATTCAGACGACAGGAATACAGTCCAAGACAGGTCTTGCAGGCACAGACAACTGGAGCCCCCCCAATTAGGTGCATCTTGGGGCCCCAGGGCACCACATCCCCCTTGGGAGGTCAGAGCCCCGTCTCCCTCCCAGCCATTCCTCCAGCCAGTTCCCCAACTCTCTCCCTGCAGCATCTCCTCCCCCAGCCTTTGTTCAGTTTCCCCGGCAAAGGTGTCACCTCTAACCCCTTCCTGGGTTCTCATATTACGTGCTCAGGTATTCTCCCTCAAGGCCAGTCTCCCATCCCCCAATGCAGGCCATCCTGGCCACACTCCCCTGCCTTCCCAGCCAACACTCCCCACTCAGCATTCAAAGACCACATACCACATTAAGAACAGTCCCAGTTCATCACATCTCTTCCCCCCCCTTCGAGACCGAACTGAGTGGGGTCACTTCAGCCAGTGACCTGGGGAAGTTCAAACCTACCCCCGTTCCCGTGGATGCACCAGCATCCCTCCCATTCCTTGGTGAGAATTACACCAGGCCCTTCCAGTTTCAATCCCCCCCTCAGGTCGGGTGTGCTCGATGGCACTCGTAGTTCGCATGTGGGAAGGTTTATACGGTTTATGTCCTTTTCCCACCCCAATACCCCTGGGGTTCCAACTGTGCTGGGGTCTTTTCCCAGCATTCCAGTCTGGAGGTCTGTGATTCGGGCTCTCTTGGTTCAGAGCCCCCCTTTTTACCCTGGCCCCCCTCTGGGAAGGCTCCTCTATGCTGGGCAAGGGTCCTAAAGCCATTTTCCCCTTGTCCCAGGTCTTTCTCACCCTCTGACAGGGGTCACAGGCTCAGCAGTACTGTCGGACAATAACAAAGACCCCAAGCCAGTAAAAGTTACGTAGCACCCTTTGTTGGGTACTCCAGGTTCCCTGGTGCCCTGAGAGGGGAATGGCATGGGCCCGGTACAGCAGCTGGCGGCGATACTTCCGGGGTACCACCAGCTGCCTCCTGATTCCCCCTGACTCCATTTTCCCTGGGGGAGCCCATTCTCGGTACAGGAACCCCTTCTCCCACAGGAACCTTTTCCGGCCACTTCTCCCCATGGTCTGTACCCGCACTGAGGTCGGCCAGGTCCCTTATCTTCTGCAAGGAGGGATCTTTCTGCAACTCAGCCTGGAACTCAGCAGCTGGGACAGGGATGGCCACCTGCTCTCTCTCACCGGCTGGGTCTGGAACCGTAGCCTCCGTGAGCCGTGTCCCTGGGCACGCACTCCCCCACCAGGTTAGGGTCCTGCGCCTTGGGCAAGGCACCCTCCCCAAGGCCAGGGCGCAGTGCCCCTCGCTGGCTCTGGCTAGGGGTCACAACCAGGGCACCCTGGAGGTTGCTTGGCCAGTCCTCCAGGCCCCCCCCCATCAACACCTCAGTGGGCAAATACGGGTGTACCCCCACGTCCTTGGGGCCCTCCTTGACCCCCCACTTCAGGTGTACTCTTGCCATGGGCACTTTGACTGGGGTCTCGCCCACCCTCGTCAGGGTCAGGTAGGTGTTGGGCACCACCCGATCTGGGGCCACCACCTCAGGCTGGGCCAGCATCACCTCTGCACCCGTATCCCAGTATCCATTGACCTTCCTCCCATCCACCTCTAGGGGAACAAGGTACTCTCTCCGGAGGGACAGCCCCATATCCACCCTGTAAACCAAAAACCCTGAGTCTGGAGCATCCAGCCCCCCCAGAGGAGCTGGCCTGGAGCTCTCTTCCCTCCTTAGCGGGTGGTACGCTGCCAGCCCCCCTTGCCTGGGAACGCTGCCTCACGTTCGGCTGAGTTGCTACCCAGTCAACCCTCTGTGGGTTGAGTCCGCTCAGTCTGTCCCTGAGCCTGGGGCACTGGGCCCGTATGTGGCCTCTTTGGCCACGGTGATAGCAGCCCATGTCCCGTGGGTCCCCTTGAGCGGGTCGGATGGACCTGACACTGGTTGTTCCCCTTTGGTGGGAGTTCTCCATATTTCCCTGCTGGGATGTCCCTGGTGACTCTCTCTGCGTTGTGGTGGGACTGTTCCTTTGGGACTCCTCCCTGTTATCCCCTGACCGGCTCTTCACAAACTCATTGGCCAGCCGCCCTGCATGTCGTGGGTTCTCTGGCTTTTTGTCCCTCAACTACAGCCTCAGGTCGCACCGCTCATACAGTTGCTCCAGTACCAGCAGTTTAACCAGGTCCTCCTTCATCTGGGCCCCATCTACCCGCTTGCTGGCGTATCCGTCCATGCGGACGGCTAGTTGCAGATATGAGATCTCAGGGGTTTTATCCTGACTCCGGAACTTTTCCCGGTACATCTCAGGAGTCAGCCCAAACTCAAGTAGCAGGGCCTTTTTGAATAGTTCATAGTCCCCTTTCTCCGCCTCTTCCAGTTGGCAGTACAGTGCCACAGCTTTGGGGTCCAGTAAGGGGGTTAGAACCCGGAGTCTGTCTGCAAGATCAACCTGGTGCAACTCGCAGGCCGTCTCAAAGGCATCCAGGAAGTCATCCATGTCCTTCCCCTCTTTACGTGGGGCCAGGATGCACTTATCAAAGCTCCGTGTGGTCCTGGGTCCCCCCTCACTCACCGCAGCCGGGGGCTTGCTGCCCCTCAGCCTCGCCAGCTCCAGTTCATGCTGATGCTGTCTCTCTTCATGCTGCCTCTGTTTCTCTTTTTCCTCCTGTTCATGCTGTCTCTGTTGTTCACAATCCTTCAGCTCTCTCTTTCTCCCATTCCAGCCGCTTCCACTCCACAGATGCTGAGCGTCGCTGGGAGGTTCCCCTGCTGGCCAGCGAGCTTCGCCAGGAGGATCCCCTGCTGGCCGGGGGGGGGTGTCACGGTGCTCTCGGTATTTGCTGGGCTCCTCCCCACCCTCCCCCTAGGCATAGGAAGGAGGGGTATCGGGAAGCCCTCAGCAGACGGCTGACCACTCCCAGCTGGGACAGACACTGGTTCCTGCGCTGCATTTGTCAGGCTGCTTCCCTCAGAGACAGGGATTAGTTCATTTCAGCTATCTCCCTCCTCCAGCTGGGCAATGAGCTGTTCTTTGGTGAGCCTCCCACTGCGCAGCCCCCTCTGCTTGCACAGCTCCACCAGGTCGCTCTTAAGCCGCTTGGCATACATCTTCCTGCTGGCCACTCACAGGCCTGCGTGCTCACCTCTCCCCACAGTTTCCAGGAAGAACCCCTAGTGTCCCAGTCCTTCTTGAGGTCACCACCTCTATGCCAGGGTCAAGCTGCAGACTCCTCCGCCCCTGGGACCACTTGCTGCGATCCCCCGGGGGACCCTGTTACTGCAAAAGTCCTTCTCGCTGGTCACACGCTCCCAGGGGTGAATCGCCCCCTGAAATCGTCTCTCTCTGACTCTTCAGCCAACCGGCTCCCCGTCAATCCCCCTTCGTTTTACTGCTCCCCAGTCACTGCAGGGAGCGCTGTCCATGGGGTGCAGTACATCCCACCGCTGCACCAGTTGTCATGGAGTGTGGGGGGACACAAGGCCCTGCACCCCTGGCTTCCTGTGATTCCCCATAACTCTCAGTCAGCCAGCCAGTAAAGCAGAAGGTTTATTCAGTTGACAGGAATACAGTCCAAGACAGGTCTTGCAGGCACAGACAACAGGACCGCGCATCCAATTAGGTGCATCTTGGTGCCCCAGGGCACCACAGCCCCCTTGGGAGGTCAGAGTCCCATCTCCCTCCCAGCCATTCCTCCAGCCAGCTCCCCAACTCTCTCCCTCCCAGCGTCTCCTCCCCCAGCCTTTGTTCAGTTTCCTGGGCAAAGGTGTCACCTGGCCTCTAACCCCTTCCTGGGTTCTCATGTTACATGCTCAGGTATTCTCCCTCATGGCCAGTCTCCCATCCCCCAATGCAGACCATCCTAGCCACACTCCCCTGCCTTCCCAGCCAACATTCCCCACTCAGCATTCAAAGACCACATACCACATTAAGAACAGTCCCAGTTCGTCACACCCAGCCCTGAGGCTATGGGTCCTGGAGGTGGGTATTGCTGAGGGCCTGTTGGCTGCAGAACAGCGGGGGTGGGCGTATCTTGGGGAGGCGGGACAGAGGGTTAGAAACTGCCTGGTGCTGTGCCAGGGGCTCTGTCTGGGCTTCCATCACTTGCTCCTGGGATTGTTGCCATACCCAGTGCACAGAGCTGGGGGGGGGGAGGGGAGGATCCCCAGCACTAGGTCAGGGGATGCTAGGCAAGTGGAGTAACGGGTCCCGCTGTGAACCATCAGGGGGTCCCGCTGGGGGGAGGAGGGGATCCCAGGCAAATGGCATGGCAGATCCTGCTGAAGGGCAGGCGGGGGTCCTAGGCAGGCGGTGAGGGACTGCGTTCCCAGTGGGAGATCCCTGGCTTCTGGGGGCTCTTGGTGGGGGAAAACTTTTGGGATTCCCAGCCTGGAAGTGATTGTCTGGTGGAGGTTCTCTGGCCGGTGGGTCTCTGAGGTTGTATCTGGGATCCCTGTCCAGGGACTCTGGCAAATGGGTCCTAGGGAATATCTGGTGGGACCCTGGCTGGGGTTCTGGGTACTGGAGAGTGTTTGGGGGCTCTGGGGACTGCTACTAACCATGCTTCTTCTCCCTGATCAGCTTGTGCCAGAATCCTGGGAGCATTCCCCAGCTACGCCCAGTCACCGTGATAACTTTCTATCCACTTATCATACACTGTGAGTGTGAAATCACAGATTTTGCTTTTCTCCTCTCTTGAAAACTGCAGGAACTTCCAGTTCTATTAGGAAAATTCATGCCCCCCATCCTTGTCCTAGTTCTGGGGGGGGTGAGGGAGGTGGGAAGTGAGTTAGCACTGCCATACAATGGTCTCTTCCACAGCATTCTGGATTCATTCTTTCTGAAATCTGGTTTCATTGAAATCACTGTTAATCCAGAGTCACTGTATGGAAAGACAAGGAGTGACTCCAGATGGACAGTGGGGCAAATGAGATTAGTAATTCTCCCTGTCAAGAGGTGCTCTCATTAGCTGCTCTCCCCCAAGAGCTAAAGGAGGGAAGGCTGCTCAAATGCTTTGTCCTTCTCTGCCCAGGATATTGGGGTTCAGCTTCCTGGGTCACACGCTGCAGCCTCCATTGTGATCTGGGAGACCAGGCTTAGGAGCTGCTGCCCTCCCAACGGGGGTTCAGTGTGGGGAAGTGACCTTAATTAAAGTTTCTTCTCTGCCCGGCCCAGGTGATAACTTTATCCAGCTGGTACTAGCCCCATAGGGAACCCCTGAGCCCTGTTAATGCTAAATTCTGAGCCAGAGACTCCTGGTAACTGAAAGACCTCAGGGAAAGTGCTTGGGACTGGCATGAAAGTGACTCTGCACAAACAGCCCCTTCTCATTTCTCCTCCCATTAGCAATTGCCAGGAGAAAATCCAGCCATGGGAGAGCAAAGAACCCAGGAATGGAACTTTCCCAGCCAGATGGGCAGGGAGAGGGGACAGGGAACGGAGAAAGAAGGAGAAAGAGAGACTGAAAGGGGCTGTGTTAGAGAAGAGTTTTGAGAGAGATTTCCAGATCTCTAATCTACTGAGAGAGATGTATTACTGCATGCTGGGTAGAGTTACTTTGCTGTGCACAAGATGAGGATCAGACAGAGGAAAACCCAGTTCCTGACTCCATATCCCTCCTGCTGGGGTGTGGCTGCCCTGCGGTCAGTGTCAGAGGGAATTATCGAAAGTGACTCCTTCACTTCTGCTTTTTTCTAGCCTTGTGTTCAGAGACTGAGGCCTGGTCTACACTGGGGGGGATGAGGGGGGATCGATCTAAGTCAACAAAGAGTCCTGTGGCACATTATAGACTAACCGATGTATTGGAGCATAAGCTTTCATGGGTGAATACCCACTTTGTCAGGCGCATGTAATGGAAATTTCCAGAGGCAGGTACAAATATGCAGGGAAGAACTCTATGCATCCGAAGAAGTGAGGTTTTTACCCACGAAAGCTTATGCCCAAATAAATCTATTAGTCTTTAAGATGCCACCAGACTCCTTGTTGTTCTGGTGGTAATGAGGTTAGTTCAATCAGGGAGGATGAGGCCCTCTTCTAGCAGTTGAGGGTGGAGAAACTGCTTTTGTAGTTGGCTAGCCATTCACAGTAGCTGAAGTGGACGTACTTAGATCGACTTACCGTGGTGTCTTCACCACAGTGAGTCAACTGCTGCCACTCCCCTGTCAACTCTGCCTGCGCCTCTTGCCGAGCTGGAGTACAGAAGTCTATGGGAGAACACTCGGGGGTCGATTTACCACGTCTAGACTTGATGCAATAACTCGACCCCCGTTGGATTGATCGCTGCCTGCTGATCCAGCAGATAGTGCAGACATACCCTAAGTTACGGGATGTGGGGAGGGAGGTTAAAAATGTGTCTGTGGGCTTAGCCTGGCAGGAGGGGCCAGATCTACACTGTAATAAAGAGATCAAGCATTTTCTCAGCATGGCAGAATCTAGGATGTCTGTCTGCAGGGAAAGGGCCTGGGGGAATCGTGCTGTGAAATTAACTAAAACCTGTTCTGAAACCTCCACAACTGCCCTTCCCACCCAGACAGGCTGCTGAACGATGTCCATGTTTCGCTCCAGCTCATCCCATCCTCCCGTGGGACAGGGGAGAGAAATGGCTGCAGAGGAGCCAGTTCAGGTAGGTATTATCAGGGGATTGCTGGTGGGAGAGGGACAGCAAATACACCGGAGATGGGAAGGTTTGCACAGTCTGGTTTGGAGGTTGGAGCAGGGCAGGAAATGCACAGGGTGGAGAAAGGGAGGAGGATAGGGTGTGGCAAACCTGCTGGGAGTTGTTTAATGAGCAGCCTAGATTCTAGGAACAGACCCATGAGGTTCGGAGGTGGAAATGCTCTAATTTGTGGAACAGAAAATAACCCACCTACATGGAGCTAGAAAAACTGACCAGACTCATAGTGCTGGAGCCTGATCCGACTAACCAGCAGCTGCTGTGAGAGATGAAGGGGGCACTCACCAGTCAGGCTTAGGGGAGATTCCCCTCCCTTCATATCCAGCTCCTCACAATGAGGAGGATGTTGGGCTTCCTACCAGGGAGCTCTTCCTGGACCCTGCTAGGGGCTCCATCTCCTGTATCAGTCTGTGGCTAGTAGATGTGTGATGGATCTGCTGGGAGAGAGGAGGGGCTCTCTCTTCATCCCCTCACCCTGGTGTTTCCTGGATGCTCTGAGCAGTGTGGGACTCTGTTGACTGTGATCCACCCAGAGCTTCTATTTGATTGGCTCCTCTCCCCCACGAATAGTGGGGCTATGAGTGGGGCAACAGGTACTGAGTGTTAGACTCTTACTCTTTCAGAGGCCGGTGACCTTCGAGGAGGTGGCTGTGTATTTCACCAGCGAAGAGTGGGCTCTGCTGGACCCTACTCAGAGAACTCTCTACAGAGACGTCATGCAGGAGAACTATGAGAATGTGACCTTGCTGGGTAAGGGTTACTGTCCCCTCGGTTCTTTGAAGGGGAAATTAAGAGATAAGGTTCAGCCCCACAATGCCACTTCTACTCTGTCCTGTTTCAGCATCACCCCAATATGCCAGTGACACACACTACCAGAGACCCTCCCCTGCTGCAGAACACTTTGGGGACAGAGCACAGGAGCAGTATCGCACAGTGTCAAATATCTCCTGTTTGCACAAGTAAAACTGGGGGTTAGGTCCAGCAGAACCAACAGAAGCTTCCTACCCGTGGTCTTCTCTCAAACCCTGAGCATTCTCCACCCAAACCAGAATGTGCTTGGGGTGTAACAAGCAGGCTGCTGGAGTCAGAGCTGCTGGTCCAGGGTTTCTTAACACACATACACTCAGAGCGTCCTTGAATGCTGGCTGGGAGTATCCAGATGGGAACTCCAGCAGCAGAACATTGAATCTCACCCAGGATTACAGATCACACAACTCCTCACTGATCTGGATTGCACCCAAGCATGTGAAAATGGCTTAGGTTGGTAGTGAAACTTCCAGAAACCTGGTGAGTGTTGCTCCTCCTTCACCATGTGTAATAGCCACAATCTCTCTTCTCTGCAGGGTCCTTGGATTTTTGAGTCCCTCATTCCCAAAGTCACATGACCTGATTCTTATTTTTCACATTTTGCTTTTCCAGACTAATTAGAGTCTGTTGCTGCTGAATTACAGCTTCTAATTTCCCAGTGTTCTCCACACTCGGGGATTTTGACTACTCCATCCCATTACACTGGACTCACTAGATTCCCTAGTTCATGAGAACGGCCATACTGGGTCAGACCAAAGGTCCATCTAGCCCACTATCTTGTCTTCCAACAGTGACCAATGCCAGGTGTCCCATAGGGAATAAACAGAACAGGTAATCAACAAGTGATTGATCTCCTGTCGCCCATTCCCAGCTTATGGCAAACAGAGTTTAGGGACACTATCCCTGCCCATCCTGGCTAATAGCCATTGATTGACCTATCCTCCATGAATTTATCATGTTCTTTTTTTGAACCCTGTTATACTCTTGGCCTTCACAACATCCTTTGGCAAAGAGTTCCACAGGTTGACAGTATGTTGTGTGAAGAAATACTTCCTTTTGTTTGTTTTAAACCTGCTGCCTATTAATTTCATTGGGTGATTCCTAGTCCATCCGTTATGAGAAGGAGTAAATAACACTCCCTTATTTACTTTCTCCACAACAGTCATGATTTTATAGACCTCTCTCATATCCCCCCTTCGTCTCTTTTCCAAGCTGAAAAGTCCCAGTCTTTTTAATCTCTCCTCATTCAGAAGCTGTTCCATATCCCTAATCATTTTTTTGTCCTCTTCTGAACCATTTCCAATTCCAATTCTTTTTTGAGATAGGGCAACCACATCTGCATGCAATATTCAAGATATGGACATACCATGGAGGCAATAGGCTATTTTCTGTTTTATTATCTATCCCTTTCTTAATGATTCCCAACATTCTGTTCACTTTTTGACTGCCGCTGCACCTTGAGTGGATACTTTCAGAGAACTATCCACAGTGACTCCAAGATCCCTCTCTAGAGTGGAAACAACTAATTTAGACCCCATCATTTTATATATATAGTGGGGTTATATTTTCCAATGGGCTGCACTATGTGCTATCCTGACATCTAGTACTGTTGAGATCATGCATTCGGTCATATCCCTGCCCTTCCTGTTCTCTTTCTCCACTGAACCCCACTAGTCCATGCTTACTGTTCCCAGCTTCCCCAAGATACTCTCCTTGTCTCTGGACCTCTCTGTCAGCAAGAAGCAGAGCCAGGGAGACTTGCCCTCTGTCTGGAGTCTTCGATTTCTGGGACATGGATTTACTTTCTCTGTGTTTTAGGAGACTCTTCGAAATTGAGTGTCTGTGACATTAACCACAGTACAATCTGGACTCTTGAACAGCTGTGTCCCCTCAGCTTCCCAAGCTGGGGTGCCTTTTACACTGCTCTACTGTGAGAGCAGCCACTCCTGGGCAGTTAACACACAGACTCCAGCTTGTAACTCGCTCCCAGCTACATAGTATTGAGTGCTGCTAGTCAGTGACTCCCAAATTACAGTACACCACAGGAGAACCCCAGAAAATTCTCTGGTCCCAGACGTCCCCCAGAAATGTGCATCTTGCACTGTCCAACACACTACTGAACAATGCAAGCTCATATGAAGTCTGTCATTTCATCAGTGGAAAATGACATGCACCAACCTTGTTATCCCGAATGGAGTTTCCAACACACTTTAATCCAAACACACTGGTTAGATAAAACAATAAAACAAGATTGTTAACTACTGAAAAAAAAGATTTTCAGTAACTACTGGTAATGAGGCATAAAAGTCAGAATTGTTTACAAAAGAAATGCAAGATAAAACACAAACTAATGTCTAACTTAACAAGCTAAAACAGATTCAAAGCAAATGTTTCTCTCACCATATGCTGAGACAGGCTGGCTTTCCTTTCAGCCAGGACTCCCCCATAACCCACCCCGCTACCCAAGTTTAGTTCTTCAGGAGTTGTCATGAGCAGAGGGAAAGGGGAGAGAGAGAGAGAGCGTCTCAAGCATTTTCCTCACCTCTTTTTATAATTCAGTCCTTTGTACTAGAAACAACTTCAGTTCTCAGCTGAGTCATGGTGACAGTCTGTCTGTTGTAGACATGAGTTTCAAGAGGTCCCTGTGATGGAATGTAAACATCTTCTTCACACCTTCCCCCTACCAGAGAATGGCTATGTGACCAGCTGTTTGTCTTGCTGTCTCTGAGGAACTGGTCTGTGGGTGTTCCCCAGAATTGTAACTTTTTCAGTAATATCATAAAGTAAAATTTCATAACTTTACATAGTGTTGCTACACATATTTTAACAGGAGAATAATATTCAGTAGATTATGCAATTTCAAGTAATACCTCACAAACCATTCTATGTACAAAATTGATCATAATTTCCTAGAAGAGTGAACATGGAGTACAGACTGATACAGTGTCTGTCTGTGTGTGTTCCCAGCAGATATGTGAGTATTTCAATCCCTCATGAACAGAGAGTTCAGCATCTTCAAGGACCTGGAGAGCTGGTCCTGGGAATTCACTTGTTTACTAAGTGTGACACTGTCTGGAATTGTGAGACACTTTATTATATTATTATTATTTTATTATTAATACTAATATAAAATTGCAATGAATCGTGCTAGATATGCCATGTAAGGTGTCAGTGAAAACGTTATGATTTTTCAAGTATGATCATTTTGTTTCTATTTGTATCACCATTGTATTGTGGGATATAGATATGTGGGGTATATCTGTATTTCCAGACTTGTGTAGTGTTTCTGGGTGACACACCCAGACATATTGGCATCAGCACTGCTTAGCCTGTTGGATGACCCATTCAGGGTCATCAGCTGTACAATGAGTCCATGGAAAGGACCAAGAGGATACACCTATTGAGTCAGCAAGACATGCAGGGATATGCCTGTGTACTGAGAACTCCAAGGCTTTTCCATGCCATGTTCTGTGAAACTTGTGTTTGGGACACAGGAAGTAGAAGCCACATGGCAAAAGGAATATAAAGGGTAGCTGCATCATCTCCATTTTGTCTTCAATCCCTCTTCCTACCTCTGGAGCAACTTCTCTACAAACTGAAGCCTTGAACAAAGGACTGAATGACCCATCCAATCTGTGGATGTGTTCCAGATGGACTTTCAAGCCAGCAACTCACCAATATATCTAAGAACCCGATATATAGATTTTGGAATGTATCTGATTGCCTTCCCATTTAACTTTCTGTCTTTCTTCTAAACCTTTAGTTTAGATGCTAAAGGATTGGCTGACAGTGTGGTATTTTGGGTAAGATCCAAACCTATCGTGACATGGTATTGTGGCTGACTCTTTGGGGTCAGAAGAACATTTTGTTTATGTACGCAGAGTTTTTAAATAACCTCTCACTGTACTGGACCTAAGTGCTGATTGGGAGTCAAAGAACTGGAATGCAATAAAGGGGGCTGTGTGATTACTTTTTTCTGCTTCTCGATAATCAGTGTGGGGGATCAGAAGCACAGTTTGTGACTTCTCGGTGAGTTTAACTTCAGTGTTAACCACCAGTTTTGGGAGCATCTGCTCTCCCTTTTTCAGCTTGCCTTGACTTTGGCATTTTCAGTGAGGACTGACCCAGGCACACCAACTCACACTAAGCACTGAAGATAAATTAATAGAATGTTTTTTATGACCAAGTCTTATGAAATCAACTGACATCCTTTGTTTTCTTTCATCTGAGCAGGGTTTCCAGTTTCCAAAACAGATGTGATCTCCCAGCTGGAACAAGGAGAAGAGTCATGGGTCCCAGACCGCCAGGGTTCAGAGGAAAGAGAGATCCTGAGAGCTCCCTGCACAAGTGAGGAAACATTAAACCAACTCAGAATCTGTAAGTGCCTGAAGGAAACATCTGGGATATGCTACAAAGCCCTCAGTTCATTATTGTCCCTAGTAGGGATAAGGGTAAATATAGCTCATTGCTTCCTATAAATCTTAGCAGACACCATCACTAGCTTCCTCCCTTCCCCCTGCGAAGTTGGATGGGATGTGAAGGCTGAATTGATCCCCTCCTCTCTCCTGTTTGGGGGAAGAGTTTGAGGGAGTTCAGTTCCTGATTTTTATTTGACCTCTCTCCAGCACTTGTTTTGGTTTGGTCTTCCCCTTTCCATCCCTGTTTGAGGTTTCTGTCTCTATCACAGCAGGTGATGCAATGGTATGTGAGAAAGAGGAGCAGAATTCTCAGCACAAAAACGTACAGCAGGTGGAGAAACACAGAGAATTATCACAAAGATTGAAACGGAATGTGTCCAGCAGTCATGAGCAGGGGAAATCCTGTGAGATTCATCAGGGAAACCAGCCAGGGGAGAAAGTGGATAAATTTATTTCCTGTCGGGGAATTCAGAAGGGCCTCAAGGAAACCACAACACAGCAGGAATTCCTCAGAGGAAAGAGGAAAAATACATGCACTGAGTGTGGGAAAAACTTCACTCAAAGATCAGCCCTTTCTCAACATCAGAGAATCCACACAGGGGAGAGGCCCTATGAATGCCACGAGTGTGGGAAAACCTTCAATCGCAGCTCGCACTTTATTAGGCATCAGAGAATCCACACAGGGGAGAGGCCCTACAAATGCAGTGAGTGTAGGAAATGCTTCACTCACAGCTCCGCCCTTTCTCAACATCAGAGAATCCACACAGGGGAGAGGCCCTATGAATGCAGTGAGTGCGGGAAAACCTTCGCTCAAAGATCAGGCATTTTTCAACATCAGAGAATCCACACAGGGGAGAGGCCCTACAAATGCAGTGAGTGTAGGAAATGCTTCACTCACAGATCAGACCTTACTAAACATCAGAGAATCCACACAGGGGAGAGGCCCTACAAATGCAGTGAGTGTAGGAAATGCTTCACTCACAGATCAGACCTTACTAAACATCAGAGAATCCACACAGGGGAGAGGCCCTATGAATGCAGTGAGTGTGGGAAAAACTTCACTTACAGATCAGGCCTTTTTAACCATCAGAGAATCCACACAGGGGAGAGGCCCTATGGATGCAGTGAGTGTGGAAAAAGCTTCACTAACAGCTCAGCCCTTTCTGAACATAAGAGAATCCACACAGGGGAGAGGCCCTATGAATGCAGTGAGTGTGGGAAAACCTTCAATCGCCGCTCAAACGTTATTAGGCATCAGAGAATCCACAAAGGGGAGAGGCCCTACGAATGCAGTGACTGCAGGAAAACCTTCACTCAAAGATCGCGCTTTTTTCACCATCAGAAAAGCCACACAGGTGAGAGAACCTATGAAAGCAGTGAGTGTGGGAATACCTTCTCTTAGCACTCAGCCATGTTAGCCATTAGAGAATTTGCAAGAGATATGAAGACCATAAAAATCTCTAGGGCTATCAGTACTTTTTTCTTTTTAATACTTTTTGTGATGCCCACATAGTAACTTTTAAAACTGTTTGAACTATTTTCAGCACCCTTATCCCTCAGCTTATCCAGATGAGGGGACCATTTTTGCTTTTTGCAGTTCTCCCTGTTTTGAGGTGGACCCATTTGTCCTTTCTATCAACTCCATTGTCCCATGAGTAATTCAAGTGTGCCCTTCCTATCAGGAGCCAGGGAGCATCACATTTATACCATTTCTCCTATTACAATGTTAGAGTAACCAGTGATTCAGATTGTATCATTACCAGTTCTCACATTGCTCTAGGTTGTGCTGAAGAGCAGTTATATTGGGACCTTTTCAAATTTATATTTAAATGAAGAGGTGCAGGGGCAGGCAAAAGTGTCATTTCAGCCTCTGTGACACCGGAAGGAGATGGGGTGACTTAGAGATTCGCTCCTTCCCCATCACTGCAGAACTGTTACCTTCTGTCTGAGCCATGCAGAGTTTGTCTTCATCACATTCTATCCATCCACTTCTCAAAGTGTCATGTGATGAAGTGTTCTTAGTTGTCTCTGCTTGGAGATGATACTTTGACTTTATAGATGTATTTGAGAAAGGAAAGCAGATGGATTGAAAGAAGACAAAAGGACTCAGAAGGGAGTGAATGCTTATTGGTCCTGCCTGGTTTCAAAAACCAGTGTCCTCTTAGAGGTGAGGTGAGGCAAACATGAGAATCACCACACTACAGAAATCTAATACAGTTGGTCCTATTTAATAGAGCTTTCTTAGTGGCCAGTGCATCAGCTCAATCAGTTTTCCTTTGAAGAACAGGAAAACAAAGTGCATCACAAACTTCTTTTTTAATCAGAAATAATCAGAAATGCTGCAAGAGCTCCTCCAATTTGCCCATCTCACAAGGAGACAAAGCACAGCCAAATCTCCCAACCAACAAAGCTCACATCTGCTCCCCTTTCCATGGACATTTCCCTGACAGCTCCCAGGGACCCATTCAACAAGACAGGAAATCCAAATGCAGTAAAGTCAAGGGAAAGATTTTTCCCCACAGGTTCCACTGATGGGGAAGGGTCATTTCAGACAGAAAAGTTCAGTCATTTAATGCCAGAATACTAGGCTATAATATCCTTCCCTCACCTTATGTGGAAAGCAAGGAGATAGTTGTGAGAACAACCACTCCTAACCAAAGAAACAGGGAACCGAACACAGAGTTTTTTGAACCCAAGAGCAGGGGGAAAGGCTTTTCAAAGGCAACCTACCCCAGGAGTGTCAGAGAAGGGAATGACTGTTTGCCTTAGGAAGTGTCTGTGGTGGGGGGGGGGGGAGGGGGGAAACCTGCAGGTACTTAGGTCACTCCAGTCCAGCTTCTGACAAAAGCTTTTGTGGGAAAGGGCCTGGGATAGCCGAGGAGGACAAGGAGTGGAAACAAGGTGGCTGGAGAGAAGGTGGGTACAGCAGTTTAGCTGCTTCCTAAGTGCGCAGAGCTGATAAACCAGGAGCAGCACTAGGGGTCAGGCAAAGCTAAAGGGCCTGTCATTGTGAAACATACCAGCTCAAATGAGGTGGTGTCAAAACCCCTGGCTTGGGTTCTAGGACAGAATTGCTCTCTGCTCAGTGGGCTCTCCTGTAAGAGCAACTAGATAGGCAGAAGAAGCGGAGAGGGTTGTGCTGCGGTAAATGAAGGCACAGGAGGATTGTTCCTCTGGGGATTTCTTTTGCTCTTGTGATCCTGCTGGAGAAACCTGAAGTGGTTTTTGAATTTGTCAGTGCATTACTCTGGGCTCCAGTTGTGACAGTGAGCACAGGGGGGTCCTTCAGCCTCTGTTCCCAAGTTATAATTATAGGTGGTTTCTGTGGTGTAGTAGTTATTCTGTTGGTCTAACATGCAGAAGGTATCTGGTTCAAAACCAGCCAGGAATATTGGTGCTTCTGGCTCTTTTAGTCCAAGTCTTTGTCAAATACATCTTAACTTCTATGCTTTCTTCTTCATTAGTTTTTCCTTCCATGAAACTTTTAACATCAAAAGGAGGGGGTAAATCTGCATGTTGAGGGAAGTAATAGATTATTATTTGGGAGACTACAGCTACTTAAAAAATCTGAGCATAGAAACGGTAGGATCTTAATTTAATTTAAAAAATCTGAAATAAATTTAAATTTAATTAAAAATTAAATTTAATTAATGAATACACTAATAGATAAACTGATTACTAATTTAATATATTTAAATTAAATACAATTAAATAAATGTCATTTAATTTAATTGCCACACAACTGTGCTCATGAATTAAAATGAAACACATTTTTTTGATATTTTTGGAGAAAAGTTCTGTTCCATGTCCTGGAATTGAAACTGGGTTAAAGAGGTATTGTCACCAAGCTGCTATTGCTTCTAGATTGTCTCAGGCTACTTTCTGTCCAACTTGGGAAACTGGCCCAGTTTCTATTCTCCTCTGGGATCAAGACCAGAGTGTGAATGAACCCCTGTGCTCAATGTCACAAACTGAACCCAATCAAAGGCACATGAAAATCAAAGCTTCCCACTGACTAATAGCAGAATGTGGGCATGTTTCCACTGTGCACCTCAAAGTCCAGGCTGCATGCCCTTTTACACAAATAGACATGTACAAATTATTTCCCCCCTTGCTAGATAGCCTAACCAACATTATAATAACAATAATAGACATTCAAGTTGACCCAAGATGAAAAACTGGGAGCTGAGTTATTCTGAAAATCTGGCTGTAGTGGCGGGTATGAGATCTTCTGAAAATTCTGGCCAACTATGTGTCTGGAACCTCTAAGAACCATCTCAACTTTTAGCATTTGAAAGGATCTGATGAAAAAGCCTTCCTTCTGTTGAACTCAGTACAGATTTTGTCCTTGATTTAAAATCACCATATTTCACCTTGATCCCAAGTTTAGGTTTCAACACAATTTATTTTATTTTTATATGCAATGCAAAACAAATTCTCTCTAGGCATTTGAACAGAGGGCTATATGTAGATCTGCCATTAAACCATGTTGCCTTTCACTTTGAGCAAGACTGCAACCTGTGGTATACAGGTGGAAGGCTATGAAATCTGGTTCTCCTCAGACCTCTTCAGTAGCTAGACTTCAGGAATGGAAGAGACTAATGATACTTCTCTCCAGATCGTTAATTCTGAAGACTAGTCTATAGAGCTGGGTGAATGTTTTTTTGGATGAATATTTTATTTACTGAAATAATTTGGTGGCCCAAAAATGATTTATTTTTTTAGTTTTGTTTCAACAAGAAAATTGAAAAAAAATAATCTGGGAGCAACCTGAACTATTATTATTATATAGGTTAGGCTAGCTAGCAAGCAAGGAAATAAATGATTTGACCAGCTCTACTTGCATGAAAGGTCCACAATGGGAACATACCTATGTTCTGTTCTTAGGCTGTTTGATTTTCACATAGTCTCCAAAACCCATCTGAGCATGATGAAGTATCACTTGAGGAGACAACAAGTGAAGACGTGTTGAAAAGCTTCTTTCCCTGAATGGAAATCAAATCTGGGTCACGGTGGTGAAAGCGCCAAAACGTAAAGAATAAACTAGACCACCAGAGAGGTAACAGTGGGTGTTTTTTTTATCACCTGTACTAGGCTTTCTCTGGCTCCTCTATCTAATTTTAGAACCTGGTCCTTTCTCCATTGCCCTGAGGGGATAAGAATGGAGGGTGAAGGATCCCCTGTGCTCAGCATCACAAACTGAGCCCAACCAAAGGCTTTGACACAAACTCAAATGATGACAACTTCCTCCACAAGGATCACATGAGTAACACAAACAAACCCCAAGAAGAACAATACTCTTCTGCTTTCATTTAGGCCCATCACAAGCCTCTCTTCTTCTCCTTCCTCCTACCTAGGGGCTCTTCCAGGAAAACACATGGAGCCAATACTAACTCTTTCCTAGAAGCCCTGGGAGGGCTTTTGATACCACCTCACACGAGCTGACAGGAGTTAGATTCTGTGTAATGGGGCCCTTAGCTTTGCCTGCCCCCTAGCCTTGCTCTCTTGAGGCTCTTAAGTAGGAAATGTCTCTTCCTGTCTCTGAGATTTAGTAGAAGAGGAGGAGAGGACAAATTGACATTTCCATCATCCTCTGTGAGTGAGAGAGAATTTTCTCCTCTTCTATTCTAGCCTAGCTAAGAGAGGGGAAAATAACCCTTCAGGAGCTGACTGTCCCCCTTCAGTGATCTTTAGCTTCTCTACTTCTTCTTACATTGGCTCCAGCTCTGCATTGGGCATATGTGTACTTCCGTGTCATATCAATCCCAGCCCTTTTTATTGTCATGGAGATTGTTTCAGGCTGTGGACAGAGACAGCTCTCTGCCTATCGACTAGATCACATGGTATTCATTTCTTGTATATTTCTCGAACTCGTTACTGCATTTGTGATGATTTATAAAAACCAGCCTGAGAGTAAAACAAGATGGCAATAAAAATCAATATACTGTGCTAAAAATACCAGTGGAACAATAAGGAAATTTGTAGCTCAGAACTTGCGTTAACACCATTTGAAGACATGCAAGATGTTGAGTGTTCAAAAATCTTATGGAAAAATGTAATTTAAAAAGGGGAATGTGATGTTGTATGTTAAAAGGATGGGTTAGAGAGTTCCAATTATTATGTTCTGATTCCTCACACCCCTACTCTGCTTAGCCAGGAAAGTAGCGGAAATGTGATCATCAGTCAATAGATTTCTCCGACATGAAAATGATACACTAGGCTGGTTGTAGTTAGCTCAACATAAAGAAAAGTGAGGGAAAACTGCTGGCTGGGAGCTAAATACGCAGGACAAAGGGTTGGGATTCTTCTACGCTCAGATTTGCTATATAGCTAGCAGTCTCCCAAATGATGTTCTATTCCTTCCCTCAAAATGCAGGCTAACCCTCTCCTTTTGAACTTAAAGCTCCATGAAAGGAAAAAAATAATGAGGATGAAAGCATAGAAGCAGTTGAGAAAAGACTTGTAGTGAGAGAAGACCAGAGAAGGGAAAGTAGTATTGTTTCTGCCTGGTTTCAAACCAGGGACCTTTTGTGTGTTAGGCAAATGTGATAACCACTACACTACAGAAACCAGCAACTGTCACTTTGGGGTCCTTTCCTAAGGCTCTCTCAGGAGCCACTCCACTAGCTGATTCCCTTTGAACAATAGGGAAACAAAGGGTACCAAGTACTTATGGTTTTCGGATGAGTCAAGAAAAGGGAGTAGCATTGTCCCCCTCGGGTAGCCCTGTTCAATTCCAGGTTAGAAAGCAAAACTTTTCTGCAAACATATAAAAAAAATGTTGTTTTTCACTTTACTTCATAAGTACAGTTGTGTGGCAATTAAATGATGACCCTAAAGTTTCATAAAATCAAAGAACAGTAAACAAAAAAGGGTGGGAAATATGGATGTATTTGAGGAAAGGGCTTGGAATGAAGGAAGACAAAAATTGATCTGTAGAGAGAAAAGGCAGTGTTTCCCCCTGGTTTGGAACTTCTCTCGCAACTACAGTAATAAAAGTGCTAAGCAAATGGTGTTCTATTGTTCCAAAGGAGATTGAAGTGAGGCCATTTTCTCCAGATAGAAGAAAATGGTCATGTCAGGAGTGGGATTTGAAGCCATGTCTCTATGCAGAGGGCAGAACAGCCAAGAGAGAGGAAAAAAGAGTCATAAAACTGGTGGTTTAGACTAGTCCACCATCCTAATGCTACAAAGAATGTGACTTATCAACCCTAGTTTTCATTAATATTTGATGAACTCTTTAGGGAGGTCAAAATGGCACATCTCTTTCATCTCCAAAAGACCTTCTATAGCACAGCTGATTTTTAGACACACTCACCCAGACCTAAAGTTACAGATTTCCTGGAGCTCCATGAGTTCTGAGGTGTTGTAATCTTCCTGCTCACGTTTTAAGTGAACAAAAGATGGTTGCTAGCATTCTGAGAAAGTAATGGTGAACCTCAAAATCCTGCCCTGTGGGCCAGATAGTTAAGCAACCAGCACCCACAATCTCTACCACGATAGCATCCTGTCTGCAAGAACTCACTTATCTGGGGTCTGAAATCCTCATTTCTTTGTTGTTCTGTCACTGTAGTCCCCACTTCCCTATTGTTTGTCTGTATAATCTCTGTCTGGTTCTGTGATTGTTTCTGTCTGCTGTATAATTAATGTGTTGGGTGTAAACCAATTAAGGTGGTGGGATATAATTGGTTAGATAATCATGTTACAATATGTTAGGATTGGTTAGTTAAATTTCAGTAAAATGATTGGTTAAGGTATAGCTAAGCAGAACTCAAATTTTAATATATAGCCTGCAGTCAATCAGGAAGTGTGGGGGAAAATTAGAATTATGTTTTGCTGAGGGGAGGGGGATGGGAACAGGGAGACAGGCCAGAACTGGTGTCAGAACTGGGAAGGTTCTGGTGTCAGAACTGGGAAGGGGGATACTGAGGAAGGAAATTGGAATCATTTCTTGCTGGAAGTTTACCGCAATAAACATTGAATTGTTTGCACCTTTGAACTTTGGGTATTGCCTCTCTCTGTTCATGCGAGAAGGACCAGAGAATGGGAGGGTGATGGGATAAACCCTCTAACAAGTACGTCTTTCAGGGTGTGAAAAATCCACACACCCCGAACCAGTATAGTTAAGCTGACCTAAGCCCTGGTTAGATAGTGCTAAATGAAAGGAAAGATTGTTCTGTCAATGTAACTATTAGAGGGATGGAAAACTCCTCCACTTACTGTAGCAACTGTCTACTCCAAAGTCCTACAGCAGCATTTTAAGTGTAGCCAGCCTAAGAGTGAGACCAGATGTGGCTCTAGTTTGGCACTGTGGATGCTCAGGCACTAAGACAACAGCAACGACCATACACTAACATTTCTATAATTGGCAGGATTCAAACCTGCATCGGTAGACCCCAAGGGATATCTAATCCACTGCTTTCATCACGCCACCACAACCACTTCATGGCCAAGTCCTTCACTACACAATGATTCTGTTCTCGCAGAATTGTCACTTCAAATTGTTTGCTCAGACCAGCTCCCCCAGCACACTCATGGCTGTGCATTAGTGCAAGTGTGTCCATAGCTGAACAGCAAGAATTCCTGTCCATTTCCGTTCTGGTTGGAGCATGATTAGAGTGTGTTTGTGGTTAACGACATTGCTATAGTTATCTTAAATGCCTATACACAAATGCAAGAAGCCTGGGAAACAAGCAGGGAGAACTGGAAGTCCTGGCACAGTCAGGGAACTATGATGCAATTCGAATAACAGAGACTTGGTGGGATAACTCACATGACTGGAGTACTGTCATGGATGGATATAAACTGTTCAGGAAGGACAGGCAGGATAGAAAAGGTGGGGGAGTTGAGTTGTATGTAAGAGAGGAGTATGACTGCTCAGAGCTCTGGTATGAAACTGCAGAAAAACCTGAGAGACTCTGGATAAAGTTGAGAAGTGTGAGCAACAAGGGTGACGTCATGGTCGGAGTCTGCTGTAGACCACCAGACCAGGGGGATGAGGTGAACGAGGCTTTCTTCTGGCGACTAACAGAAGTTGCTAGATCGCAGGCCCTGGTTCTCATGGGAGACTTTAATCACCCTGATATCTGCTGGGAGAGCAATACAGCAGCGCACAGACAATCCAGGAAGTTTTTGGAAAGTGTAGGGGACAATTTCCTGGTGCAAGTGCTGGAGGAACCAACTAGGGGCAGAGCTTTTCTTGACCTCCTGCTCACAAACAGGGAAGAATTAGTAGGGGAAGCAAAAGTGGATGGGAACCTGGGAGCCAGTGACCATGACATGGTCAAGTTCAGGATCCTGACAGAAGGAAGAAAGGAGAGCAGCAGAATACGGACCTTGGACTTCAGAAAAGCAGATTTTGACTCCCTCAGGGAACAGATGGGCAGGATCCCCTGGAAGAATAACACGAAGGGCAAAGGGCTCCAGGACAGCTGGCTGTATTTTAAAGAATCCTTATTGCGTTTGCAGGAACAAACCATCCCGATGTGTAGAAAGTCGTGCCTTACTAACCTAATTGCCTTCTATGATGAGATAACTGGGTCTGTGGATGAGGGGAAAGCAGTGGATGTGTTATTCCTTGACTTTAGCAAAGCTTTTGATACGGTCTCCCACAGTATTCTTACCAGCAAGTTAAAGAAGTATGGGCTGGATGAATGGACTCTAAGGTGGATAGAAAGCTGGCTAGATCGTCGGGCTCAACGGGTAGTGATCAATGGCTCCATGTCTAGTTGGCAGCTGGTTTCAAGCAGAGTGCCCCAAGGGTCGGTCCTGGGGCCGGTTTTGTTTAATATCTTTATTAATGATCTGGAGGATGGTGTGGACTGCACTCTCAGCAAGTTTGCAGATGACACTAAACTGGGAGGCGTGGTAGATACACTGGAGAGTAGGGATCGGATACAGAGGGACCTAGACAAATTAGAGGATTGGGCCAAAAAAAGCCTGATGAGGTTCAACAAGGACAAGTGCAGAGTCCTGCACTTAGGACGGAAGAATCCCATGCACTGCTACAGACTAGGGACCGAATGGCTAGGTAGCAGTTCTGCAGAAAAGGACCTAGGGGGTCACAGTGGACGAGAAGCCGGATATGAGTCAACAGTGTGCTCTTGTTGCCAAGAAGGCTAACAGCATTTTGGGCTGTATAAGTAGGGGCATTGCCAGCAGATCAAGGAACGTGATCATTCCCCTTTATTCGACATTGGTGAGGCCTCATCTGGAGTACTGTGTCCAGTTTTGGGCCCCACACTACAAGAAGGATGTGGAAAAATTGGAAAGAGTCCAGCGGAGGGCAACAAAAATGATTAGGGGTCTGGAGCACATGACTTATGAGGAGAGGCTGAGGGAACTGGGATTGTTTAGTTTCCAGAAGAGAAGAATGAGGGGGCATTTGATAGCTGCTTTCAACTACCTGAATGGGGGTTCCAAAGAGGATGGAGCTTGGCTGTTCTCGGTAGTGGCAGATGACAGAACAAGGAGCAATGGTCTCAAGTTGCAGTGCGGGAGGTCTAGGTTAGGAGGGTGGTGAAGCACTGGAATGCGTTACCTAGGGAGGTGGTGGAATCTCCTTCCTTGGAGGTTTTTAAGGCCCGGCTTGACAAAGCACTGGCAGGGATGATTTAGTTGGGAATTGGTCTTGCTTTGAGCAGGGGGTTGGACTAGATGACCTCTTGAGGTCCCTTCCAACCTTGATATTCTTTGATTCTATGTTGTTCACTCCCCACTTTGACAATTCAGACAGTCCCTTTCCTATTCAAATCTCTAGCATATCATTCCAATAGCAGGGGTCAGCATTTCTCTGGGGCACTGAAATTTTTCAGGGGGTTGGTGCCTGAACTCAGCCTTGCATTCAATCCTTGATGTTTCATGGACTATAACAGCAGCATAAAGAAAGAGCCGAGCCAATATCTCACTGTCAGAGGTGAAGGTGGCCACGTCCCCTCTGTCTGACTATTGCCATTGCAGGAGAGAAGGTTTCAATAGAATTGAATGCCCTGGCTCAGACAAGAGACACAGGGAGGTTTTGCTGTTCATGGATCTATGCAAATGAAATTGTGTCTCTGTGTGAAATTGAGGAGGGAAATGAAATGTCCACATGGTGGCCCAGTGCCCTAACGAATGTGGGTGAGGGACTTGGGCTGGGAAATGATTTTACAGGAGTTCATATCAATTTATTGCCCTGATTAAAAGCTATGGCTAAAAGGCAGCCACTGTTGTTAGTACTTGAACCTGCATGGGGACACCCAAGTGGGTGTCAAGTCCATTGCCTTAACCAGGGCTAGTCAATTATTTTATCAAGATCCACATTTCTTGGTCAAGGTATAGTCAATGTCTAGACTCCAGCGAAAATAATACACTGATGATAACACTGCTCTACAGCCAAAATGCTTCTGAAATAAATGTAGTCAAACTTTACTAATTCTGGGTCACTGAGAACGAAAATGATGCTTAAAATTGTTGATTGGCTCTAGTTTTCAAGATATGCTATTGGGTCAGTATATATAACCCTTCACTTGGG